TTATAAAATTTATAAAAACTAAAACTAAAAATTAAAAACCGCAACCTTACTATAAATGGAACAGTTTAAAAAATTGGGTATAACTGGGTTGGAGAAGTATGGGTGAATTATGATGTGTTGATGGCGTCGGTAGGCCGTCAGTCCTGGGCCTAATTGCAGAGAGAGATGGTCTCATCTCATCTGAAAATTTCTAAAAGCATAGGCCCGACAAGAAAGCGGAGAGCCCAGTCTATTACAATTCTATAAGAGAAAGTCCAATCCGATCCACCACATAGGGTACAAGGCAAGTTTAATTTTTTCATACAGAATTTTAATGCAGCGTCGGGTTGGGTGCTGACGGCCTGCGGTGTTTTCTTTTTCTTATAAAAGCACCTAGTACAGTGATAATTAATTAGATTATCAGATAGAGCTGGTCTAAGAGGGGACTGAGTTATTCCATTGTCCCTAAAATCAAATCAATGTATATTCCACTCCACTAAATTCAGACGCATATATATACATGCATGTGTATATTTCCACAATTATTGTGCATGCAAAAATTAAGTTGATATCATTAATTTTCTCCTTTTATATCTCCGAGTAGCAGTAGTAATACTACTATATCAATGAGTTGCAGATCTCTTGTCCCTCAAATTACAACATTCTAATAAATTGGCACGCATACTTTAATTGACACCATACTCCCTAGCTAGTCCCTAGTTAGCATTCCACTGGTTTCCTATTATGTACATGCACGAACGCGCTTTTGAATTCTTACCCATAGGATTAATTTTGCAACTTCTATATACTTCCTACAATTTTAGACCCTGATATATGATGAAGCACACCTAAAAATTTTGTCACTCTATCTCTCATATGATGGAGAACATAATTTAATTAATTTAGCGACGAAATTAATCACAAGGTTTACATGTTAAAACTTGGTACAACATATCTTATGAGACGGCAGCGCTATAATTAAATACGTACGTGCAGGAGTATTTATTAACCAAAAGGGTTTGTCGACACTAGGGTTTGTAGGGTGATTGATGGTTGATAAAATTCAACTTCAAGAGTCAATATTTCACTTTGGCCTTTTTTTTTTTTTTCCCCTTCTAACGGTTATGTTAATGTTTTCATTGACTTTTGTGAAAGGTGCAAGACTAAGATGAGAAAAGCTGATATCTACAAGACTAGATGTGAATCAGAGCACTGGTGTGTTTCGCAATTTGTGCCAGCTTTAAGAAACACAAAAGACAAGCTGAAAATAAAAAACAATGCAAAAGTGAACCTTTTGGAGATTCTGATTAGGAAAATAAACAGTGCAGATTAAGAGGTAAAAAAGTAAGGAGAGAGACAGAGAGAAGGATAGGAGCAGTCACATTACTCAGTAGACAATTCAGATCTTTTTTCTTCAGTTCCAGTGCCCAACATACACATTGCAATATTATTACAAAAACCAAGGCAATAGAAACTAACTAAAGTACACCTAGAGCCTAAAAGCTTATAAAAAAATTCTGCGGCATCAAACCCTAGCTAGGGTTTTCAGACAGAACATGGGTTTTGCTGGGTTGGTGCCTCCTGCAGCTTGCATTCTTCTTTGAGATTTGAGGCAGAGACTGGGAAGAGTTCAAGAGTTTTAGGAGGTGGCCTTTTGCAACATGGAGAAAGAGGGGGACTCACATCCATCATCATCAGCCAATCACTGCCATACATGCTCATCATGGACTTGTCCATCATCCCTCCTTTTTCTGGGACGTCCACCTTATTCCATGTGTAGTTCATAACCTTTGTCTGTCCATCTTGATCTAATATTCCAACCAGCTGTTCCAAAAAAATTCGGGTATAAAAGATCATAATCATCATTGATGTATAAACTCAAATTTATTAGTGGTACGTACATATGAAAATGAAGTATAATAATTACATGACAAAGAGAGGGAGGCAAGTATAGTAGACGAAGACAGAGTAATAAATGAAAGCCCTAAACAAAGGTCAACAAATTAACTGAAAGATTTCATTTTCAATCTATATCTGTATAATTGCAGAGACTTTATTTGAAGAAGTTTGATGGCAAAAGAAAAAGATGACAGTCGTGGGGACAATTAATCTTTTTGAAAATGTTTGATTTAATTTCTTGAATAATTTCATTCATGTCTTTTATTGAATATTCATTCTTTAAGAGGATTCACAAGAATACGATCAAAGAGATTCAGATAAGCAAGCTAACAAAGAAACCCTAATCAATATTTGTCCCCATATATCTGATGCCATTTGTCATGTGTAAACATGGAAACTAAACATTAGACGAAAGGACATTGAGTGTCAGAAAACTGTTTCTAAAGAAATAACAACCAAGCATTAATATAATGGTTTAAGTGTGTGCATATATATATATATATATTATATACATACACATATCCTCTAAGAATCTAGAAATTAGTTTCAGGTCTTAATTAACTATAAAAATATGATTAATTACCTGAGGAAGAAAACCTGTATTAGGGCTGTAGAAGGAAAGACCAGGAGAGACAGAAGAATCAAAGAAATGAACAAGGTGATTATTTTGTTGCATCTGATGACGATGAAAGAGTTGTTGTTGTTGTTGCTGAAGTTGTTTACTTAGCTTCCTCCTAAGCTTCTGCCTTTCCCTAGCCTTGTGGTTTTGGAACCAATAGAATACATTTTTGCCTTCAATCTTTCCATAGAAAGAGAGGTGAGTAGTAATCTGTTGGATTTGAGTAGCATTTGGGGTTCTAACTCCACCTCTATACATCTCTTCTAGAATCATCAACTGCTCTGGTGTCGGAGACCATCTTGTAGAAGCCGCGGGAGCCATTATAGACAAGAGAAGAAGAAAGAAGAAGACGTAGAAAACCCAAGTTTTTATTTTCTTTACTTTGCAAACCCTAGTCTTTGTGTGGATTGAGCTTGGAAGGAAAGATATAAATAGATGAAGGGAAAGGAGAGGAAGAAGTAAAGGAAGAGAGACAAAAGGCATGGAGAGGGAGGAGGGAGCTAGATGTGGGGGTTAACAGGAGAGGGAAAGGTACAAATACAAGTTGTCATCATGCTGATGTGTTTCCTTCAGAGGGGCATTCAAGTGATGGTTTCAGGTTACCATGGAGAGAGAAAGGAAAGAATCTAGCTAGAGAGAATGAATGAGGGGAAACTTGAATGATTATGTCATTATCGACTTAGTATCCATTTGCTTGCGCAAGAGAGTAAAGGAGTTAATATATTTTATTATTTGGTCGGGGGACATAACTAAATTGGATACCATGTACATCATCGTCATGCATATATATAAAATATATCTAAAATTTTTTTTTATTCAAGTCTTATATATTATATTTATATAAAATTTTAATTTTTTATTTTTTATTTTTAATAATTAA